ACGAAAGTTTCTGTTACAGCTGTTAACAGTGTTTAATATATTAATAGGCAAAGAAGATTTTGGTATCAAAGTAAAATCCATCAAGTACACACTCCCAATAGTAATAATAATAATAATAATGATAATAATAATAATTGATTCTCATAAAGGATCTTACCTTATCACAAGACCTTCTGGTGCATTGAGATAGTCCCTTTCGAATCGTATGATCTACATGCAGTATAGTATATTTTAGTTACATCTTTATCTTAGTTTAAAACAACAGGGAGAATTAAAACAATAACTTGGAAATAATTTTGTTGATGATTGTCATAAAAGTGTTGTGCACGGACCGGTTTATGAAATCTACTCGCCGAGACAAGGACGTTCTTGTGGGTTTTAAGTATACTCTGTGAAACATGTATTACACAACGGAGATTAATTTTAGCTTTTCCGATTGATAATGAATTTGGTTCTTACTTGAAAAATTAAATTTCAAAAATAGCTGGTATTTACTCAGGATAATTCTGTGGTAGATCGGGTAAGTAATGTGGCTTTCTGTCGAAAACATTAGCTACTTCATTATTTCTTACTACATTCTGCTATGGTGCTGATAGAAGACTGCTATTAATCTCATTTACGTGTTCTTTTATAGAATCCATAATTAGTTTTCAACTTAATTGTATTTAGTGTGTAGATGTGTGTTTGTGTATGTGATTGTGTGCGTGCTGTGCGTGTTTGTATATGTATGTGTAAGAACTCTTATCTTGGTTTGGTTCTTAACTGTTTTATAATATCCGTTATTATGGTAGCTAGGGGCAAAGGGAAACCAATTAAAATATTCACGAGAATGGATACATACGAGGCTTCCACATATACTTGTACAGCCCAATTATTGAAAGTCGCATAGACAGGAAGTTAGACAGCTAAGAACATAGAGCGTCACACACAGAATGGACATGTAGCCAAGACCTGCGCCCGGTAGCCAAATAACAGAAGACAAACTTCCTAAACCTGGGCAGAGTTGGTGTATTAATTTGTATCTTGCACTTAAAAGCCATTCACTGCGGCCCACGGCCTCTTTCTCTGTGTATCTTTCGAACATAGAAAAAAGGCTGATGCAACAAACACGAAGAACTTAAATAAATATGAAAAATGAGGATTTAAGTTATGCGACTGCTATTGCACTGATTTACTTTCATCCACCATTGAACAACTCATTGCATCAGTCGCATTCACTTGACTGCCCGCATTTTATAAGTAAATATGACCAGTGAGGATTCAAGTTATAATTTTGTAACTTCTATTGCACTGATTTACTTTAATCCACCATTACACCACTTATTACATTATTGCATTTTCACCTGAACCACCAGGTGCAAACGTTACGAAATGTGCACATACATTTAAAATGACTTTCTTGGAAAATCAATCCATTGCGTGTCTCCAAGGTGTGTCCGTGCGAGGCTATTGGAAATATTCATATTTAAAACAATCTGCTGAATGCTAACGCGTACAAAAAAACAACAAAAAGAATGTGAATATATTTAAATATACACCAAAAAAATGCCGGTGTAAAAAGAAATTATGTCCTGCAGGAATTTACGCCCTAGCTGCGTATAAATACACCTTGTTGTCAAGGTCCGGCTATGACAGAGTATCCTTTGATATGCGAGTTTTAACAGAGGCTCTTGGGGACATGCGTATGCATATGTCACTTTCACATTTGGTTGACAAATAGCAGAAGCAATTAAGCCAAAAATGCATTTTGAGTTTTAAAAGAAAGAAGGCACTTTTAAGTGATTAAAATCACTTGCCCATATTCTTTGGTTTATGAACTATCCGGAAACTAGATCCTACCAAAGCTAAAAAAAAGAAAGGAAATGAGTTTTGAGTTATAAAATGTATGCTCTAGGAAAATTCCACTTTATCAGTTGTGTAATAATATACTGTTTGAGAACGAGCGTATGTTCAAATGGTTACAATTTCTGTAAGTGCACATTAAAAATTAAGTCCATCGAACTGATAGGAAGCGTAGAGAGTATATAAGTGCAAGTATGATTTTGTTTAGTGTCATCTAGTGCGAAACATATTTTTCGCACTAGGCAAAAGTGGAAAATGGCGACCGGAAAAAGGCGACCCACACGAGGGTTTTGTCAATTGGTTAATTTTACAATCAAAAAAGAACTGTTCTGTCGTGGATTAAAGCTGCAAGGTGTCCTTTTTGAATGTTCCAAATATGACGCAATGGAAATGATATTTTAATAAAGGCCTTTAGATTTAGGAGACGAAAAGAGATTACTTATAAGGAAATGTTGAATATGTAAATGACAAAGTAGATTAGAAAATAAGTAAACGCGTGGTCAATTCAGAGAAATAGAGTTTAAATTCCCTCGTATTTGTATGAAAGTGAAACACTGGAATATAAATGTTAATAAACTCAAACCTGACGTCGTCAATGTAACAGTTCTCTCTATTCATACCCATGGGTAACAAATATCATCTGGTTAAAGATACCGCTTTGTGAGTCTTAAGCAATGACAGATTGTAATTCCATTCCTTGCAAATCTCGGAATATCTCGCGGCACTTGTTATGCTTGCAAAGGTTCCAAACCACTGATCAACACTGGAAATGACGCTTTCGTGTGTTAAAACACATAAAATGCGGATAAAAGTCTACATCATTGAGTATGCATCCTTAGTTTGACATAACATTTCAGGTCGCTTTTACTCGGATTGTATTTTATCCTAATGAGGCTTTAGCGTTGCCCCCATTAACGCATGCGCAGACAGGGAACTAGGTCTTTTTTCCTTTCCGGGTCACGTCAGTCAGTCATATTTTGGGTTACATTTACATACCTGTTTTAGAACTATACAACCAGATTACGCAGGCGAGTTTATTGATTTGGGGGGTACCCACCAAGGCCTTTACTGATACAAGCACTGAAATTTCGAATAAAGGAATGTTGTACATTTAATACAATCATATTTTGAGAAATTTTCAAGAGGACATTTTGTCACAACAAAAACAATGTCCAGAAATCATCAGAATGTCTCAGCTACAACAATAACACAAGTACATTTCATTTCAGCAAATATCAAATATGTCCTTCAGAAAAAAAAACAAAAATAATTCACTTGATTTATCTTCCCTCCTAATTGATAAATGGTTAAGTGAAGTCGTTTAGTACTTAAACTAACGCCAAGTCATTTTATAATCGTATTAATTAATTGTTACTAAACAACAAAGTCATTTTTTAATCGCAACGAGTAACTGTTACTAGTAAACAACAGCTTACGGACTTGAAAAAAAAAACAAAGACGTTAAAAAGTGGTAGATTAAAGTGCAGTCTAGATTTGCCCTTAGCTTCATGATTCTCTCACCAATGAGCAATGCATTTCTCTTGTAGAAAAAAGTTCGAAATTAAAAAGATTTTTTTAAATGAGCACATTTATCACTGAGACAAAGTCAATTGGCACTCTTTTTTAAAGAGCTTTGTGACATTTACTTATATTGTTTTATATCAAAAACATCATTGGAGCAATGTACACCATAAAACGTACTTTGGCGTCGATGGCAGTAAAGTTCTAAATCTTCATCTAAGCAAATTCTTCAATACACTTTCTTTTCTTTTTTTCCTTTTTCCCCACAATTTTAATTAGTATCATCATTAAAGATACATTTGGAACGAGCGTCGGTGGAGCTTGAATTCCCAGTAACGCATATAACCACTTTTACTAGTTACTTATACGACTCAAATTTAGTTGACATGCCAAGGGAAAACAGATTTAATCACTCGATTAGCCATTTACAATAACTGCTGATTTTTTTTCTTTCTGACTTATCTGCTCTTCTTAAATAAAGAACAGGGAGTAAGCAGAAAATAAAAGTTCATATATCATTTTTCGGGTAATATGCAACGATGTAGTTTGGTGTTTCTCTAAGTTGTGCAATTTGAAAGAAAATAGTTCCCTTTGATCGTCTTTTGTGGCAAAATTCGTCTTCAAGTGCATCTCAAGTAATTGTAGTTATTAAATGAACGTGCGGTCGAAAGCAATGTCATCTAGCTTTCTGCAATAACTGCACCTTTGTGTGATTTTGAATTTCGATGTTTCATAACAAACGTGTATACATTTAACAAATTGTTTATATCATTATCATTTAATGACTTCCAATTGCCAAACATAATTCAATGTCGTTATAAAGAAAAAAAGCTAAACACACAGCCCTTTGCGTTCATTCTTTAATTTATTAGCGTTTGAATAACAAGACAGAGAAAATGGCGTGCTATATAAATCTCACATTTAATTTCACAAGTGGAAAATCACTTTCGATAGATAGAACCTCTTCAATCTTGTAGTTATTCCCGTGAAGATAGATTAATCCAAACAGACCGCTGTGCTAAAAGGTTGTGGATATTCGTGAATAATAGATGACAGCAAAAGTTTTAACACCATCGATATCAACCCGCACCCTTTGAATACCTGATTTCAAACTTAAGCATCTAGTTATAAATATTGTAGACTGCCACAAATTTGCTGTATTATTCATGATGCAGTGGAATATCTTGTGAAGACAATAGTTCACTGAAACTACATCTGAAAGTATAAATATATCCCTGTCGTCTCGTTCCATACGCTCTAAGCAGTTGGAAGGCCGTTTGATACAATCAGTACAGAAAGAACTGTTTCCACCTAAAATTCTGCTAGCAAATAAATATTGGAAGCTACTGTTCAAGTTCTTATCTCTTAATTAACTCAGATTAATCCGAACTACACATTTTTGAAGGACATTATAAAGAAAAGAATATTTGATAGTTTAACATATTTGATACATCTAAAGCAAAACACTGGAATTTTAAAAAGGAAGACATTATCAATGAAAAATTATATTCAAACACTATCTAAAGCAAAATTTATCTCTAAAGAGATATTTAAAGGACAAAACTTTGATAGGTTGCTGCGGTTTACTATAATGTTCACTGCTATTGGAAGTTCGAATTTCGACCGTGATTTGAAACTTAGCTAGAAACGAGACAGGTGGTGAAAAGCATAGCATTGTTGTTGTTGGTTGACGGGAGCCCCTTCACTGCGTCCTTCTCTGCAAACTTGACGATGTAATAGTTGACGTCGTCAACCACGCTTACCGACGGTTCGCTGACGTACCCAGCGTCGCGTAAAACCTGCAACATTCCCGCGGCTGCACCGGCGACGAGAGGGGACGCCATTGACGTCCCGCTTAAGGACTTATAACCGTTGTTGTTTGCGTAGTTGGCGGCCATGATGTTCTTCCCTGGGGCGTAAATATCGACGCACGATCCGATGTTACTAAATGAAGCCAAATTATCATCTATCTGGGTGGCGCCAACTGTAAGCGCTCCGCTTACGCTTGCTGGGGAGAAATGACACGCATCGGCCTTGCCGCTATTTCCAGCGGCAACTACTACCGGGATGCCTGCGTCCAGTACCGCGTGCACGGCGTCATTTATGGAGGAGGAGTACCCACCACCCAGTGACATATTAACGACTGACAGACGCTTGTTTCGTTGAACCTGTGTCTTTATCCAGTTTAGACCTTCCAGTATGCCCGACGTTGGACATGAATAGTGGCATACTTTGACGGAGATGAGGTTAACCTTCTTGGCTGCTCCATAGGTGGCGCCTCCTAAGGTACTGGCCACATGGGTACCATGACCATTGGAGTCTCTACCGTTAGAATAAGAACTTGCGTACCACCCTGGAAATAAAACGCAAAGCTTTGAAGCGAATACCTTTACTTCTGATTGTCTTGTGCTTATAGTCTCTCTCTTCTCTCTCTCTCTGATATAATTTATGTTAAATATCACTAACCTAATGTCACTCTTCCTTTGAGGTCACTGTGATCAGGATTAATTCCAGTGTCCATGACGTATGCGTCTATGCCAGTGCCGTCTGCCCATGTGACGAAATGGTCATCATTCGGAGAGTAGTCTATTCTGTCTAAATTCTACATAAAAAAGAACTGAATATATATCATATAATAATAATAATAATAATAATAATAATAATAATAATCTTTATTGAAATATTGCAACCTGAAGGTTGAAGTTATATATATATATANTGCACCATAAAACGTACTTTGGCGTCGATGGCAGTAAAGTTCTAAATCTTCATCTAAGCAAATTCTTCAATACACTTTCTTTTCTTTTTTTCTTTTTTCCCCACAATTTTAATTAGTATCATCATTAAAGATACATTTGGAACGAGCGTCGGTAGAGCTTGAATTCCCAGTAACGCATATAACCACTTTTACTAGTTACTTATACGACTCAAATTTAGTTGACATGCCAAGGGAAAACAGATTTAATCACTCGATTAGCCATTTACAATGACTGCTGATTTTTTTTCTTTTCTGACTTATCTGCTCTTCTTAAATAAAGAACAGGGAGTAAGCAGAAAATAAAAGTTCATATATCATTTTTCGGGTAATATGCAACGATGTAGTTTGGTGTTTCTCTAAGTTGTGCAATTTGAAAGAAAATAGTTCCCTTTGATCGTCTTTTGTGGCAAAATTCGTCTTCAAGTGCATCTCAAATAATTGTAGTTATTAAATGAACGTGCGGTCGAAAGCAATGTCATCTAGCTTTCTGCAATAACTGCACCTTTGTGTGATTTTGAATTTCGATGTTTCATAACAAACGTGTATACATTTAACAAATTGTTTATATCATTATCATTTAATGACTTCCAATTGCCAAACATAATTCAATGTCGTTATAAAGAAAAAAAGCTAAACACACAACCCTTTGCGTGCATTCTTTAATTTATTAGCGTTTGAATAACAAGACAGAGAAAATGGCGTGCTATATTAATCTCACATTTAATTTCACAAGTGGAAAATCACTTTCGATAGATAGAACCTCTTCAATCTTGTAGTTATTCCCGTGAAGATAGATTAATCCAAACAGACCGCTGTGCTAAAAAGTTGTGGATATTCGTGAATAATAGATGACAGCAAAAGTTTCAACATCATCGGTATCAACCCGCACCCTTTGAATACTTGATTTCAAAAATTAAGCATTTAGTTATAAAGATTGTAGACCGCCACAAATTTGGTGTATTATTCATGATGCAATGGAATATCTTGTGAAGACAATAGTTCACTGAAACTACATCTGAAAGTCTAAACATATCCCTGTCGTCTCGTTCCATACGTTCTAAGCAGTTGGAAGGCCGTTTGATACAATCATTGCGGAAAGAACTGTTTCCACCTAAAAGTCTGCTAGCAAATTAACATTGGAAACTACTGTACAAGTTCTTACCTCTTAATTAACTCAGATTCTTTCAAAGCTACACATTTTAAGAAGGACATTATAAAGAAAAGAATATTTGATAGTTTAACATATTTGATACATCTAAAGCAAAACAGTGGAATTTTAAAGAGGAAGACATTATCAATAAAAAATTATATTTAAGCACTATCTAAAGCAACATTTATCTCTAAAGAGATATTTAAAAGACAAAACATTGATAGGATGCTGCGGTTTACTATAATGTTCACTGCTATTGGAAGTTCGAATTTCGACCGTGATTTGAAACTTAGCTAGAAACGAGACAGGTGGTGTAAAGCATAACATTGTTGTTGTTGGTTGACGGGAGACCCCTCACTGTACCTTTCTCTGCAAACTTGTTGATGTAATAGTTGACGTCGTCAAAGGGCTAAAGGGCTTCTTTTTTTGTATTTTACAGTGCGAACGGTGTCATTTGATACGCTTTAGAACTGTTATTCAGCTAGTCGAATTTCTAATTTCCATTAGTGTGATTTTTTTACAGGGTCAGGATCCCCCTGACTCTCACCTCCCCCCCC